GGCAGTGTGCTGGAGCACCATTCCGCTCTGTCCACGCTTCATATGCGTGACCTCCGCGTTCCCAGGATGTCTAGTCTATCATTACTACTAGTAACAAGGGCATCGCTACTAGCAAATTCAAACCTAAAACCGGTACGACATGCCTGCATGCCCTTGCTCACATCCACCACATCGCCGGTGATCTCTTCCTTGTCCTGCAGGATCCAGGGAAGAACTACAAAGAGTCTCCATGGCTTCAAAGGACGTCTTCATCTGAGGTCTCAGTGTCAGCAGTCTTACCTCCCATCCGGGGGCACCCGCCCGCGGGTCGATCCCCCGGTCGCCGAGCCCCACCGGCTCCACGGGGCTCTGGGCACCGGACGCCGAGCCCCACCAGCTGTTTCAGTCCGTCCATGACCTGTGCTGCGGTGTGCGGAGCAGACCCCCCCGGGCGCCGAGATAGCCGCGGCGATCCCCGCGCCCCAAAGCAGGGAAGCTGCTGATGGGGACCCAAGGTGAGCTCATGAAGAAGCTGGTGGTGACGTAAATGCAGCGATCGCCAGTAGGACAAAGGCCGCACAAAGCGCTTGAGCCCCAGCCCTGCTCATTAAGCTCGTGGCTGTCTCTCCAATGGTTGCTTCCTGTGAAATCCAATTTCGGATTAACTTGCAGCCGGAAAGAACATTACAATTACAACTTGTACCAGAAAGCAGCACACGTCCTGCTTGGGTGTTGCATCCTTCTTCTCCTCCACCTGTCATGTGTCAGAGTTCCTGGATTGTTTGGCAGCAGATCCTCTGAAAGAAACAGAACTGTGATGGGAAGGTTGGCTTTCTCCGTGTGGATGTCGTCACAAGGGCCAGTTCACAAGTTCTAGTACACACCTTGGGCTCTTCCTTTTTCTCCTCTGGCTTGACTTCCTCCTTCTTGGCCTGTCAAAGAGGGGATAGGGCAGTGCCACTGTTCAAGCAGGCTCAAGCAGGGCAGGTGTATCACAGCTTTTGAACTACACCACTCTCGGACCTTCTGCACCATGGAAGTGTTCGCTGGGCAAACCCATGCAGCGGGGGGGGGGTCACGGACCTATCAAATCCTTCAGCATGGAGGGAAAGGGCACAGCAGAGAGCACACCTCCTGTGGAGGGCCAAACTGCTTTCAGGATCTTTCGGGTGAAGATTTGGGCCGATGGCTCCCGGGGTACCCGCCAACACGTCCCCCGCCACACGGCTCGGCACCTCTGGGGCCTTGGCCGCCTGCTTGGAACCAGTGCAGCCCATGTTCCTCAGCGGCCCGGACCGGAGGCAGCCCCGGAAAAGCGGGGAGGGGCCGCAAAGGGGCGCGTCTCATCCCTGGCGAAGCCCTTCCGTTCGACCATGAAAAGTGTTCGGTCAACACCTGGCGATCGTAGTCTTCAAATCCTTCGCAAAACAAGAGTTGCTCAGTAAACACGCGTGAACACCCATGATTGATCTATGGTGAATTCCGGAATCTAGCGGGGAAAAACGAAAGCCATGCAGTTCAATCCAACTCCTCGCCCACAGGCCTCATGCTTCCTTCCTGCGCTTCCGGATCGAAGTTCCGGCCGCCCAAGCACAGGCCGGAACTTGGATCAGTGGCACCATAAATGCCATCAAGCATCTTTGGAAGGGTTTGAGGTCACAGAGCAGACTCAGATTGAAGCTGGACTTGCTGCGGAGCGACACTCTTTCCCTTCGCTCGAGCTCGACCAGCTCGGGTGTTTTTGTGACTGAAAACCTGGTGTTTCCTGCCACCCGGGTGGAGCGTCTCGCTCTGAATCCGGTCCAGCTCCCCACGCAAAACCATGGCGAATCAAAAAGAACGCCACGATGGCGGCGTAAACCCTCGTTCGCACTGCCCTAGCGGGTTCGTTTCCTCGTTCGGCACAAAGGATCTTGCGGCGACCGGCGCAACGAAAGACTCCTGCACCGCTTTCTCTTTGGCACGCAAGCTCTTCATCAGCTTGTCAGCCTGATTCATCGGGCAGTCTGAGCATATCTGAGCATGTCTGAGCAAAACGATGAATGGAGCCAATGGAGCCAATGCCTTGTCTGCTGGCAAATGATGTAAAAGCTCCAGTGCAAGGTAATCAACCTCAGCAACACTGGCAGTCGAAAGCGAGTCAAGAATTTAAGAATGCAAGTCGAAGGCCTAGCAAACAAAACTTGAATCGAATTCTGCGACCACTTCAACTTCAATAGTCCAAAGAGTTCTCAGTGAACTCGCCGCAGGTGAAGCGCTTGTGCCAAACCACCAGCTGGACTGGCCTCCTCATCCTCTGCAAAGTCAGAGGGGTTTGAGATGGCTGAATGCCTTAGCTACATGTCACAGGTCCAAGGTATCCCTTCCAGAGAACCAGAAATTAATTAGCAAGGTGCGACTTAGAAAAAGCAACGAGAAGCTTCAAATGCTCTGGTTGGCTTTGCGGAAAGGGTCCGCAACTGATTTCTTGCCCAGATCTATCTGTCTGAGAGCGTTGTGGCTGAGAACGCAACACAGAGAGATTGTCTTCATCATCCTGGCAGAACGCGGTGCATGTTCACACGAGGACCAAACAACTACGGACCCACCACACACTCACGTTGATCCAGCTACATATAGTACATCATCTACAGATCATTACAAGTCTACATTAGGTGTCATCTTCACAATTCTGAGGCTCTTTGGGCAAGAACGACCCCAGTCTACCCCAGTCAATGCGAGCACGGCCGTGTTCCCCACCAGTTCCGCGTGGAACACTTCGAGGCCCCATGAAGCGTCACCCGAAGGTGGCGAAAAGCTGTGGTCAGACCAGAACAAGCGGCAAAAACCCAACGAAACTCGCCGGGCGGGGCTGAATCGATTAAGGTGTTGATCTCAGCCTCGAAACAGGAAGGAAGGAAAGAAACATGTGGCCTTCAGAGATTCAGCATGATGTGTGTTTTCATGTTTAAAAAAAAACAAAACATGCCTTCTGACTCTCTGAGGGGACACCAAAACACGTCAAAAGTGCCGAAAAGTACGTCCCGTTGGGCGGTGTGACAGACGACGAGTCCACGAGTCGGTCCCACGAGTCCAACGAGTCCAGGTGCCCAAGTGTCTGGCCATGGAAACCAAAGCGCCTTCTTTCCGCCCGTGCCCGTGACCCTCACATGACAAGTCGTTCTTCGTTTTCCCGAAAAGGACAGCGAAGCCTTGCCGGTTTTGTTGAACTAGTGGTGTCTCCGGAGAAACGTGACAGTCGATACTACGTGGCTGGTCAAACAAAAAGTCATGCCCGACTGCAGTCCTTGAGACTGTAGATTCTTGGACAAAGTCGCTTGTGGCTTAAGTTCTTCATGTTCTTCCGGTTTCTTCTGTCTGGGTCGTCTGTCTAAACAACTCTTAAGCCATTCAGCAGCGGGTCAGGCCGAGCGGTCCACACGGTGCGAGACGGGTCGGACGACTGGTGGACGGTGCATTTGGATCTAAACAGACTAAACAGGCACTTGATCTGGAGTGTGATTCGATGATTCTTCAGTCGACCTTCATGAAAAAAGAACTGCAAACATCGCCGGCAGAGCGACGCGCTGTCCGGCCCGTAGAAGAATCTGCCTTTGCTTCGCAACTGCCAGGACAGACACGTGTTTGCTCTTTTGTCGTTCGTCCACAGCGGTGTCTAGTTTGTCGACACGTATGAGAAAAGAACATTCCGCACGCCGTGGAAAAACTGCATGTTCTGGAACGATGCTTTGGAGGTGAGCAACAAAAGCCGATTGGATGGTTTCACTTGGCTGTGGGAACTGGTACCAGACCGATGGAGCAGGGGGTCGTGCCCTAGCTGGAAGATGCTGGAAGTACCTGGAAGTACCTGGTTTTTCGCGGTAAAAATGGTGGGCTCCCCACGACCCATTCCCACTTGTGGGAGTGGTCAAACTCCCATGGAGTGGACTTGTATAGACCCACAAAACCCCCTAAGAAGAAAAGCATCTATAGCTGCATACCAAAGACGTGACGAAATGATGCAATGAAAACGTGACCCATCGCAAGAAGCCTCGCAGCGCACGAGCCTTTTCGGGCGGAACAAATCCACTAAAGCTCTGTGCCACACGACTGAACGACCAGAGTTGATGTCGAGCAAGACGGTAGCAGGGCGACAAAGCGTGGCTTCCTTGACCAAGCTAAGCTAAGAATTTTCAGAATCATTGACCTACTCAGAGCTCATTGCGCTTCAGCGGATGGCCCTCGGTGTTCAGGAAGAGGTGATTCATGTCAAAAGCTGCCTCGGCGCGAAAGCGCACAAGTGGTTTCCACGCATCATCGGCTGCCAACCTGGATACACTCTGACTCACTAACATGGAAGTGGATGGCATGGACCCTTGGAAGACTATTTTCCCCTACAAACAAGGGTGGCTTTCCACTTCCATTCTTTTTCAGTGAGTGTACACGTTCCAAAATCAGCCACAAACTATCTTGTAGTGTAGAGGTGGAAATATGTCGAAATATTCATTGGACTTTAGACTAAAGCCCTGTGATACAGGGTGGTCAGCTTCTGTGTCACCAAGCGTCCCACAACACTACACTCGCTCATTTCTCAAGACATACTAGCTGCGTCCTTCCCCCCTTGCAGCCCTTGCGTTGATTCCAAGGCACAGCCGGCGAAAACAAGAGGAAAAGGTACTTGAAGGTCTCCTGTCAGGACGAAACGACGTCGTGTGGTCCTGCGATGATTCAGAGACCCACTGAGATTGCAGCTGCCATCACAAAGGTTTGCATCTCATCCATCGGTGACGTGGGGATCGCCTGGAGGCGTGGATTCCTTCCAAAACCGGCCCACACCAATCCAAACGGGAAGACTTGGATGGACTTAGCCTACCCTCTCCCAACATAGCATCAGCTTGCTCCACCAGGGAGGACGGGGAAGGAGCAAGGAAGGAAAAAGAGAAGGTGAGGCCAGGACAGCGACCGAGGGCACACCCAGGGGCTCTTGAGATCAGGGGAAAGGGTAGAAAAGGACGGGTCAAAGAACTGCACAAGGCAGAAATTCAGAACTGCACAAGGCAGGTGTTTTCATTCTTTAGAAATGTTGAAAGCACGAAACCTCTCCTCTCTCCTCTGCTGGCGCTGCTGGCCATACTCAACAGGCCAGCGGGTGGGACTAAATAGCTCTCCATGTATGGAACATGATAGAGGTCTGTGAAGCATAGAATCAAGGGTCGGTGGTGCACTGCGAAAGGAACATGACAAGCCCATTTCAAACGCCGCACGACCATTCCAGCACACCCTCTGACTGCCTTTACGTCGCGCACGGATGAGAAGCCGTGTGGAACCTACGAAGAAACCACGGCTGCATTGTGTAACACACATGTCTGGGGTTGATTGCAGAAACGTGCCTTGGCATGGTTGAGGATTGCTTGGAAGAGCTTGCTACCCCAACGGCGATACCTGCGTTGAGCCAGCAGAACTTTGAAACAACAAACGACATCAAAAGAGCCTCTCCAAAGTTTCGGGGTGCAGCGGGGCACTTTTCATCGCCCGTCAAGCGATAGAGGTAGAACAACGACTCCGCCTCGGTCGGAGGTGTCACGAGATCCCGCGATCGCTTCGTCCGCTTCGTCCGCTTCGTCCCGCTTCGAACGCTTCGGTCTTCTGGTCCCCCCGAGCCGTCTCAGGTCGGAGAAAGGAATGTCGGCCGTTGGAAGAAGCCTGACAACATGGAAAGAAGCCAGAAGAGCTTTCGGCCTTTTTCTTCGTTCTTTTGGAGTCCAGCCTCGATAAACTTATGAGGAGCTTTTGAATTCACCTGGCAGGAGCCGGCAAGCGGACCAGAAAGACTGGAACCCTTTGGAACCCTTGACTCGGTAGAAGCAAAACGTTTCAGCAAATTCCATCCAACATCTCCGAAGACTTCAGGAGATGGCGATGACGGCGGAGATTGGACCCGAACCACCGGCACCCCGCAGGTTTTGGACCGCACCAATGCCGGCACCCGATCGGCGCGGATCCCACGCGGCCCGCACAGCGGCCTTGCTGAACTCGGGAGCCAAGCCGGTGGCTGAGGAGGCCCAAAGCTCAAAGCATGAGGCCGTCAAGCCTTCGGCTAAGCGCCACCAGGTGGCATTGCGACCCTTCTCCACCAGGTCATGCTGAGGCAGTTCCATCAGCCTCAGCTCCGATCCGCAGATGGCGCGGAGGGTTGATTTCAGCAAGATGTGTATAATGTATATTCTGTCCTACAATTACAGTATATGTTATAGGTTGGTGGCTTAGCTTCCTAGTCCGCTTTTCCATCTGGCAGGTCTCTCCTACCCCTTCCGCTTCTCCAAAATGCCTCGTGTTTCCGACCCAGTCAGCCAGCTCATCCAACCAGGGGCCCTATACAAGGCCGGCCTGTAGCGTAGGCCCCCGACCCAAGCGCGATCAATCCGGGAGCAAAGCAACTAAGGTGGTCCTGCATTCGAGCAGAATTGCAGATGTTTGAGGAGAAAGATCGCCCTACAGCACCTCGGGGGTATGTTCAAAACATGTGTTCAGCAATCCAGATTTGTAGAGATTACCTGCACTTGAAGAGACGTGATGTCGCCTTTCAAGGGTCCACGTTCAACTTCCAAGTGTTCTTTGAAGTCTCAAATTCATTCAAATTCTAATCTTTAGCCTTTAGCCTGCAGTGGCAAAAGCGGCTTGACTCACTTGAAAGAAGCCATCGGTCCATCTTCCAGTCTAGGCTGCCATCGGCTGTCATTTCGATCAGCTTGTAATGGACCACCCTGCCCTGCAAAGACATCACCAGCGTTGCTGAAAAACATGTCCCACAGACGAGTTGGGATGCAAAAGACACAATGAAACCTCAAAACGCTGTACCTTCATTTCATGGTCCACGCGGACCCGGAAAGAGATCGAAAAAGGAACTAAAGTTGAAAATGGTATTGATCAATTGGTTCGATCCCTGAATCATTTCCATTATAATCACCCAAAAGCATCACATACACTGCCTGGAATCATGATGGAGGTCGAAAACCACCCTCTCTTGTACGGAAAATGGTCATCCAAGGGCCACCTACCACTGCCATGCAAATTCCAGGCCTTCTCACTTCTGTTGCACAGGTCCGGTCCGCGACATCCAGTAGGTCCGCTGGTTTCCCCCGGTCCCCCCGGTCTGCTGGTGTCCCCCAAAACCCGGCCATCTGCTCTGTTTCGCTGGCTGAAGGAGATGGCCGTACGATGCCGGGTAAAGCATCCATGACCTCCAAAAAGAGCTCCTGAGCGCAGAACGATGTCGTCAAATACGGCCGTGTCGCTCGGTACGAGTTCAGCCGGCTGCCACGAGATCCGATCTTCGTTGTGACGACTGGGAAAGGGTCTCCCGGTGTTCACCAAAAAGAAGTCAGAGAAAATGTATTTGAATTCACCGGCGCAACATGAGCATTGAATTCACCGGCTTCAAGAAGCTCTGTCCTTGAAGTTCTTCTCCGACGGCCTCTGAAGCCATTGCTTTAGCAGGTACCTATGAAAGCCAAAGGCAAATCTGGTCCTCACTTCATGGCAACGTCTCCGAAAAAGGCGCACTCGTAGTAGGAGTCTGCCAGAGCCCCAAAAGCAAACTTTGAGGCCACTGCCTCGAGATGTGCGGTTTTACAAACTTAAAATAAACCAACAGCTGATGCCAATCATGAGTATTCTCTCATCAACTACCACAAATCGAACATCTCCCATCTGCCACACCGGACGAAAAGCCTGCCTGTACTTTTGCCATCCCTGGTGGAGAGAGAAAGACAGGTAGTATTCCAGGAATGCCAACGGATTGGACGGCCTCCCATATCGCAAGTCACAACTTCAAGTACTGCAAAGGCACTCACTCCACGAGCTGCGCATGCTGCGCATTTTTTCGAGAAGACCAGCTGGGCCTGAAAAGCTTTGTCAGCTGCACGTCGAAAACGAGCGTCTCCTGTCCTGGCCCAGGATAGAACAGGACAAGGTAGGTTAGTTCAAAAGTGTTCTGCAATGAAAACAGACTCATAGGAAAAAGAAACTGGGAAAAGAGACTCATGGGCCTTGCTGTCAGGCTGCGAAATTCTACCTGCAAGCTGCCAGCCTTCGAGAGAGCAAAACCAAACCAATCCTCTGTCTTGGGATGACGTTCCTTTTGAACAAGAGTCCTTTAAAATCCCTGTAATATCTTTTAATGTTTCCTGAGAATCAGTTTGTCAGCTTGGGCCACACAGGAGCTTCAGTTCATCTGCTGCGAACTCACTTCCAATTACCAAAGTGAATTATCGCTTCTCCCACATCTTTTGCTTCACGATGGCTCAGCAGTTCATTCACTCAAAATGGTCTCTTGATGTATGGCTCATACGATCAAAACATCGGTAGCTCAGGGACTGCCTCGGACAGGATGACTGGCTGAGTGCTCGTCTTGCTGGTGCCCCGTGCGAGGTTCACCGTCGGCCAGGGCATCCTGACCCGCTTCTGTCACGACGGCGCGGACGGGTCCGGGCCACACGGCGCCTGGAGGGTGACTGGAAGGCCGGCAGGAGGCGGCCTCCCAGTTCTTGTGCTCGCTCCAGGAAGATCTGGGCCAGAGAAGACCAACAAAGACCCAAGTCGCTCCCAATCTGCGGTCCCTGCGCCCGCTTCGGATTTCGTCCTCATGGGGCGCGATCCGTGGCGCGCGAGCCGCGGCGCGCCGGCCTCTTTGCCAGAGAGCGTGTGCGCCCCGAGCAGACCTCCCAGCCTTGGTGGGGGGGGGCCGTCGCCGTCTTGGTGCGCTCACGCCCCAGAGATCGGAGGGACTGACAAGCGAACCGGAGCCAAACATGGTCTGTTCTTATTAAAAAGCAAGAGAGGTTCAGTGACCTTATAGGACCCTACTGGGGTACCTATGGGATAGTCTATAGGGTTCTTCAACCTCTGTTGAGGCACCCTAATGATCGCTCGAAAGCACCAATTTGGGCCCCCGTGCGCACGGATGGTGAGTTCGAAGACCGACACATCCGAGTCTGCGTTGTCAAAGTCAAGGTCATCCTTCACGAACCTCAAGCCCTGGCAGAGGGGCATTCATCAAAATCGGGATTCGAACCAAATGGATTGCCAGGGTTGTCAATCTGATATGGTTCTGGGAGAAACTCTTGCGGACACTTTCTACGCATCCCTTGCCCGTGTGAGCGGGTTTGGTAGGAGTTGGTACATAACAGGGAAAGTTCATCAAAAATCTGTCTATACCACAAAATGATCTTGGTATGTAACACTGTGCGCGCGCAGTAGATACCGCATGGACCACAAATGGTCATCGCTTCACATGTATCACAAATTTCGTCGACAAATCTTCTTGCGGCGGCCAGGGCCACGCCAACGCATCTCTCATTGCGCTGCTCGGCTTCTGCAACGAAGCTGCGGCTTCTGCGAGGTTTCAAAGAAAAAGAACCAAAAATCGGTGTTGGGCACTTAGAGTGCGGGACGTTTTTCTCTGCCTTCTCGAAGGCTTCGTCGAAGCCCATGAGCCACAGTGTGGTCAGGGAGTCCTTGACAGGAATGTGACCGCTACTCGATGACCGGGGAACGAACACGGAACGAAGACGGCCGACGAAGCGGCTGGGTGGGCCGGGCCAGGATGGTGAGGCCAAGACCACCGAAGGTGTTGCGCCCGAGCCTCAGAGAGGAACTTGGAGGAGAGGAAGAAGAGAAACTGCTCGTTTGGTCAAGAAGCAGTCCTCTTCTTTCATAAGATGTCACCTCAACACCGCACCTTCACCTGAATCACTGCGGGGCGACTCACATCTCTTCCAGGTTGCCAGCCGTGACACCGGCTGCAACTCATCCTTCCCCCAAGCATACCTAACAAAAAAAGCTGGCACGCCCAAGTCAACAGTTCTACACCCCCAGCAAAACCAGCAACGACAGTTCAACACATCGAACACGGGTCGTCCTACACGTTCACCACACTCGGAACGTGCGCGGAGAAGGCCTCTCATAGCCCTTCCAGGCATGAAGGAATGCCTCGCGCACCTGGCGTTTCAACGACGGAACTGAGAAGCTGTGTAAAAGGAGTTGCCAAAAAGACTAAATAATATATAGATAAGTCATGATAAGTCAGTCCTCGGATAGAGAACGCAGGACAGGAAGAACGGAATGAAAAAGTCAGACCCAAAAAGGAAAATTGTGAAAAGTTGAAATCTTTGTTGTAATATAATCATTGTTCTCTGTTGGGGGAACCCCACTTTGGACTCCAAACTCTAAAACATCCGCCGGCGCGTGGCGTGCCTCGTCCGCTTTCGCCTGCCATTGCATGTCGCTTGGCGATGCTTTCGACCTTGTCACGGTGAAGGCGGGGTGGAAGCCGCACACCATGATGCTATAATCAGGGTTTTTCGACGAAAAAAAAAGAGAGAAATGCTCCCAAAGGTGTCGCCTGAAAGCTGCGAGGTAGCTGGAAGGACTGCTGTAAACGCCTCTGCAGTCTTGCAATCTGCATCGAGCTGAATCTGCTTGATCGGTCACAAAAACAACCCCAGAATATCATGGGTAAGAGCTGAACAGAACATAGAGATCCCTTCATAGATACAAAGAAGAATGCTCAGGCCCACCATGCCAAGAATCTAGAGCTGCAATTCCATGCATCCACCCATTCCACAGTATTCCATGGCTTTGTCCGGCAAAGCACCCCGGCTTTGCCCGGCTTGGCGCAGAACCACTGAGTCGACCCAGACGGCACGGAAACGCAGCCGGGGCCTGTGTGATCGGTGTCCACGAAGAACAGAGACCGCGTCGTGGCATTCTTCAAGGGCCTCGGTGCCGTCGATCTCCGCGGGGAGCAGCTGATCTTTTGAAGCGCCAAGGGCTCGTCACATGCAAGAATCCACAGAAACTCTGGATGCTTCAAAGTAGGTAAGGATGGAAAGGTCATGCCCTCCAAGAGTGGATTGGAAACTGTCTATCCATTTCCGGACCTCTCTATTCTAGCTTACCATGTTCAACTGCCGGTGGAGCTGTGTGTGGACTTGAGGTTGAGCTGCGGCTGTGCACTGCTGATACCACCCACCTGGCACGTTCCAATGACATCGACGTCGTGACAGCTCGAAACCAAACGCCACCGGTGGCCTGCTCCACCCAGATCTCCACATGACCCGGGCGCAAGGCCGTGAGAAAGACCTGCGCCTCGCGTGCGGAGGCGCAGGTCTCACATCGTTGGCATCGAAGTGGGCGACGTGATGAGATTTCTCACACATCCTGGAGGCCAGTCATGCCAAGCCTCACCAGTCCCCCGCATCGAGAGTAGCCCAGTGGACGGCCTCACAAACTGCTGGAGGGAGACCGAACCCGTCAGACGGCAGGTCGAAGCATCAGTTTGGTGGTTGGAATTGCTTTTTGGTTAGCCTTTAATGGAAGCCCCGCAGCGAATTTGCGTCCGCCTCATCTCCATAGCATTGCGCTGAGCAGAGCTGCGCAACATCAGCTGGCCTGCAACTGTCAAAGTCTCTATGTCCGTCCTGAGACCACCGTGGTCTTTCTGGTCCTGAGACCAGCCTTACAGCAAGCACCCTGGTCCTTGCCGAAACTCCATGAAACTCCTGGCACTCGGCGCCTCCCACAGACCGGTTCAATGGCGTCAGGTTCCCAAATTGATCCTGGCACCCGGCGGCCAGACCGATCGGAGCTTCGTTTTCGGAGCGCGCTGGCGCGGCCGGACACTCGGCCGGTCCTTCGTGGTGACGGTCAGCGAAAGCTCCCTTCGCAACGGGAGGCTCGAGCCTGACTCAAAACATGTCTCCCTGTTCAAATACACGCTCACATCAATATGAATGAGTTTATGATACTCACAGGTCGCCGTTCACCTGCGAGTGTGCGCTCCCACCTGTCATTGGAGAGCCAGAATCTGCCCTCAGACGCAAATTCCGATTTCATCAAATCATGCAATCATTCCAAAAAATATGCCAGAAAACAGGATCTGCTGGCAGTCACCTCGTGCATCCAAGTTGCAATTGAAGCTCAATGGCAAAGCTGTGTGAAGGCCCAGACATAAAACGAATCCTTGAGTGACTGTCAGGTGTCTCACCCGCAAACCCGCGGGTGAATAGAAGGACTAACGAAACGACTCATGTTAAAACCAGGAGAAGGACTACCGCGTTGGGTTCACCAGGCTAATCATTGACTACACCATCTCATCCAAGGCTCTGAGACGTATGTAGTAGTACATCAGCCTGTCCACGCTGTGGACAGAATGCGTGAGAACAGGAACGACGGAACGACCTATCCTCGCCTCTGGGTCAGGGCTTTCTATGCGAACTTCAGCATCTATGACCTGCTCAAAAGAGGAGACCTTCATCTCATCTAAGACTTTGAATTTCCTGATTGAAACGAAACAAAGACCTCCGCCAGCTCATTCTCGATGTGAAATTCCAGCTGCCCCAAGCGCCAAGCCAACGGCAAAGAAGCCTTCAGAACACTTTATCCACACAAGCGCAAGCTGCTGGGAGAGCAAGAACACAATGTAAACACCAAATGGGGTTTCCAAATCTCAGCAAATCACGCCAGACAAATGAGCTTTCCCAGACAAATCCACGCCCACCTGAGCTGGCAAAAGCCCTGGGAGCGCGCAAAGGCATTGTCTCAAGAAACAGGAGGAAGTCGTTTCTGTAAAGGCCCAGTGCATTCTCAAACGATGCAAAGTGAGCCCTTCCTCCTCCCAAATGGGCGTTCTGTCAAAGCCGTGACACACCCTGGTTGCTGAAAGTGAACGACTCCCTCAAGAGGGGATGTTACCCTTCCAAGGTTTGTAGGTGAGATTTTGACCACGCAAGCCATCGAGAGCGTCCATCTCCCCAAGGCCGCCCAGCTCGCAAGGCATCACAGGCCGCGGGCCTCGCCTGCGAAGAAACGCTGCGATAACAAAACGTGGCGGCATGGAGACGTCTGACCAACATGGGTCTGCAACATGGTGTCAGAATGTTCCAAGTCCGCACATCAGCGATCTTATTGCCATCTGGATATCAGCTTCGTCCAACCTTCGCTGCGGTCGGAGATGTCGATCGGCTTCGGTGTGTGATTTTGAAGGCACGGGCCGTATCTTCATCTTACCACGCAGAGGTGTGTAGGTATCCGAAGATCGTGGCACAGATCTTAAATCCCCAGTCGGTGTTCGACATGTCTCATGTCGCTGGCCTTCCATGTTTTCGACCTTTCCAGGAACCCCTTTTAAGACCTTTTCAGACACAAAAACACCGAAGAACTCTTGCTACACCTCCACAATACTTCCCCCCCGCCCCCAACGTCACGGCGCGGGACCCCCACGCCTGGCGCCCCCGCGAGTCCCGTGCCAGCAAGACGGTGCGAAAGGGCTGCCCTGCCACGGCCTGGGGGTGCTTGAACTTGGAGGTGTCAGGCCGTGACAAGTTCATGATCTGGTTCTCCAGATAGAAATTCAGTCAGACTGCAGACTGCAGAAAGCCAGTGTTGGCTCAATCCTGCACGCATGGACGAGACGAAGAAAAAGGCCGATTTAGGAAGCGTAGTTACCTGAGACGGTGTGAAGTGCACACCTGCCATAGCCGCTATAGCCCTCACTTCAGTTCTGAGTGGAAGTCTTCCACCATTCCAAGGGATTTTGGACCCTGGCCAAGTTGGCATTATATGGCATGATTCACCAGGCAACCTCGACCTAGGAGTTGCTTCTGTTTTTCGGTCAAGTCAGGTGAACAGCCCAACTGGGCTCATGAAAAGGCAGCAGCAGGCAGCAAATCCATGGTTCATTGAGGTCAGGGTTCCAAGTGGCCAAGGTCATTTCTCCTCGAACATTGCATTTTTCAGGAAGACCTCGAACCATGGGAGGCTAGCGGCTAGGGCAACTGGCAGATCCGGTAGATCCATGAATTTAGGTTGACTCAGTTCAGAGAATCTCGCTGTGCAACTTCAGTGTCAAGGCGGTGAAAATCCTGGCAGACATGTCAAAAAAAAGTCCCAAAGATCCCCTGGAAGAGTGACAGAAAAACACAGACCCAAACCCATCGGTTGGAGGGTCTCCCTGTTTGTATACGCTTCACCCAATTTGGGTGTTTTCCTCTGCTTGACCTCGGCTCTACATGTGACCGGACCGGCCCCCGGCATCTTCCCTAACCAGACCTTCTCAGTGCTGTCCAAAAACAGCCATCGAAACCTGGGCTGGCGAAGCTGTTGTTGCGGCGAAAAAGACGCGGCGATCATGGTTGGTTGTTTCTGAAGGCTGTGTTCAATTAATTCGGACTTCTGCAGGAGTTTTTCAAGCTAAAATTCCAGCAAGTGAGTTCTTAGGGTGCTTTAAGGTATTATCTATATAACTCTTCAGCTCTTGCGGGTTTTTTCTCACATGCTATGCTGGTTGGTGCACAGTGCCGCGTCAGCGG